CTCTCACAGAGCCTGACCCCACAGCCCCCAGCCTTAGTCCCGCTTTCTCCTAGAGTCTGCTGGAGTGGCATGGCCCTCTGGGTCCAGGGGGAGCTCATCACCCAGGAGGTGAGACCTGGCAGACTCAGCCATGACCCTAAGAAGGGTCTGGAACCCAGACAGCTCAGTCAATATTTGTTGACTGACTACCTGATTGACTAAGTTTGAATGCCCAGCCTTCTGAGCACTAGCAGTGGGGTGTGTCCCGCAGGGCGGGAGTTGGGGTTGAGTTACAGTGGAGGGGGGGCGGTGGGCAGAGCCTGGCCTCGTGCCAGGCCCAACACTGCCCACAGGCAGGAAGAAGGTGAAGGTGTGGGAGCAGTTTCCTGCAGGTAGGCGGGGATAGAGAAGGGGCCTCAGGGAAATGGGAGGGGAGGGGGTTGTTCTGAGTTGAGGGTGTGGAGCCCTGGGTCCCAGGGTTCGGACCGCAGAGCCCACAGAACTGGGAGGCATTCGCAGCTCAACAGGTGAGAACGTTGATGGGGGCAGGGCGACTGTGGTGGGGCAGCCCAAGGGGAGAAAGGGACAGATTCCATATCTCTGTCACCCACCCCGTTCCAGCAGGCAGCACCCCTCTGCCCTTCCTGGAAATTGGGCAAAGTAGCCTAAGGCCTGGCCCTTCACAGGTACCCAAGGAGAAAGGAACCACGCACCTAGGGGAGAGAGAGGGGCCCGGAGGAGGGACGCTTGCGGAGGAGAGGGGTCACCAGGGACTGGAGAGGGCACTGGGAGAGAAGGAAGCAGTGCCTGGGGAGAGGGAAGGGGGATTGCCAGGGGAGGGAGAGGTTGGAGGAGGGGGGGATACCTGGGAAAGGAGGGGTGCCTGGGGACAGAGAGGGGAAGAAAAAGGAAGGGAGAACAAGGGGGAAGATGGAAATTCAAAGGGGAGAAGGGGGAGCCAGGAGGGGGAGGGGCGTGGTAAAGGGGGGCACCCGGTGGGCATGAGACAGAAGGGGAAGCCAGAGGAGAAAAGAACTGGGCATCTGAAAGAGAAAGGGGCCCTGAGTGGAGGGAAGGGGCCTCCAGGGAAGAGAATGGAATTTCTGGGTGGGGAGTGGACATGGGGTAGGAGGTTCCCCACTCAGGGAGGTGGTGAAAGGGAGTCCCCCCCCCTCACCCCAGGGAAGAGAGCAAGAGGTCTTGGGGAGTTGGAGAGGATGTCTGGGGAGGGAAGGACCCATGAAGGAGAAAGGGATTATCAGGAGGAAAGAAAGGTACTGGGGAGAGAGAGGACACCCACTGTTTTAGCATCCCTTCCCCAACCGCCCCAAGAGCCCAGTGAATGCAGGTGACACAGGGGTGGGCCTCAGGCTCTGGTTCCCAGCTAGAGGCTCTGGCTTGAGCTAGTATCAGCACACTCCCAGCCCCTGGGGATGACGCTTTCCCCTCCCGGTGAGATCAGCCAGGTCCCAATTTTCTTGGCTGCCAAGTTTGACTTTCCTGTCCCCCATGGGGCCCTGGGTGCCACTGCTCTGAAGCCGCCAGTAGTTCTGTCGTTCTGTCACTATGTCACACTGTTCCCTGAACTACATCTCGCCGATCCTGTCTGTCTGCCTCCTGGTCGCTGCCACTGGTCACTCTTTCTGCCTGTCACTCAGTGACCTACTGCAGCAGGGTCACCATTGCCTGTCACTGTGCTCACCACTCAGTGTCTCACACTTTTCTATTGCATGAGATCATGCTTCATGGCCACTGTGTCTGCCTGCCACTCGTGTTGCTGTCACAGCAACAGGCCATCGGCAGTTGCCACACTCCTAGGGGCAGGTGGAGTGCACAGGTGACTCCCAGGTACTCCATTCATTTTTACTCAGTCCAGCCCTGGCACAGCACGCTTTCTCATTCCACAACTGCTTACTGAGTGCCTGCTGGGCAGCAGGCAGCTGGTAGCCTGCGGTAAGCAAGGGAGCAAAACCCTGCCTGCAGGAATCTTCTGCTCTGGTGTGGGAGACCAAAGCCCACAGCGCGCGTGGTTTCCATAGGGTGTCAGAAGGGCTGCGTGCTGGGATGAACGCAGCTCCAACCCCACTGCTCGTTCTGTTCCACAACCTCCCCGCTTCCCCCACCTTTCCATGGCTGCCTGTTGGGTGTTGCCCATAGCGAGCTGTGAGCCAGGATCCCTGGACAAAAGAGCCAGAAATGCGAGCCACTCTCTGCTGCCTATTGTGCTGTGCCTCTGATTCTCACGCCGTATCTCTCCTCAGTCCTCCTGGTCAAGCAGGACCAGCAGAGCCTGGGGTGATCCTACTGTTGATGAGAGGCAGCTGTGTTGCCCAGACTGGTCTCAAACGCCTGAGCTCAAGTACACCTGTAGTCCCAGCTATTCAGGAGGCTGAAGCAGAAGGATCACCTGGGCCCAGGGTAGTGCTCCCTTATCGTGCCAATGCACTGCAGCCTGAGACCCCAACTCAAAAAAACAAAACAAAAAAACACAGCTGAAGTAGAGGGGGAGGGGAGAGGAGTTAACACCACACCAGGGCCACCATGAGTAAGAGGTTCAGAAAGAAGTGATTTGTGGGTCTACTGAGTAAAGCAGCAGCAAGAAGAGTAAGCTGCAGCTGGCAGGATTTAGTTTCGCTAGGAAGACTGCAAGAATGACCGAGCCTCACACACAGGTTTCTGAAGAAGTGGTGCAGGAGCATGAACGACCTACATGTAATAAAACCCACAGAACTGAGAGCTCCTGCCTTCCCCCCAGACACCTCTCATTCCATGTCACTCGCTTTCTGTCCTCTCATTCTCTCCCTCCTCTGCACACTCAGAACCACAGAGCACAAACTTTGGCAAGTAAGCTAAATCGCCATCTGCAGAGACTGGCTGTGTGCTGAGCATGTGTGCAGAGCATGTGTGCACAGGGAGTCCAGCTCTGTTCCTGTGTCAGGTGTGCTTATGCCTGGTCTAGCCAACCCACTGGTATCAGCTGACTCTGCCTGCTGCAGAATCTGCCAGCCTTCAGGGACAGTGTGTATGTGTGTGGAGTCTGTCCTGGGTTTGCAGAACTTTTGTCTTGTCTATGGAGCCTGTTTCTGCCCTGAGCCTGTGTCTATTTTCAGAGACTAAGTCTCTTTAAATAGTCTCTCTCTACTTCCCTGTGCATGAGACTTGCTTTCATTGCACAAGCTGCCCTGCACGCAGAGCCTGCCAGTGTCTACAGAGCTTGTCTGGTGACTTTGTCTGGGATACCTCTCTCTGCCTAAAGAAATTGTTCCTGTTTGCAAAGCTTTGTCTGTTTGCAGTACCTGTCAGCAGAACCTGTTTCCTTTGCAGTAAGTGTCTCTGTCTTTAGACTACATCCCCGATGGCAGAGCCTTTTGCTATTCGGAGACAGGTTCTGTCTGAAGTGCCTGTGCCCTATGTGTAGCATCAACAGTCTGTCTGGACTTCCCAAGTATAGACTGCATCTGTTTGCAGAAGTTTGTTCTTATAAAGCGTTTAACACTGTCAGGGGTAGGGATGTCTGTCTGGGAGCACCTTTGTCCTCCTACAGAACACATTCCTGTTTGCAGAGCCTGTGCCTGCCTGCATACACTAGTCCTATTTCCATGTGGACCTCTTAGCAGATCCTGTCCCTGTCTATAGAGCCTTTACCTGTTTGCAGAACTCAATCTCTATAAAGCCTGTCCCTGTTTGCAGAACCTGGAGCTCTCTACAGCAGCTGTCCCCAAACTTTTTGGCATCAGGGACCAATGTCGTGAAAGACAATTTCTCCACAGGTGGGGGTGGGGGATGGGAGTTGTGCAGTCAAACTCATAAGGAGCATATAACCTAGATCCCTTGCATGCACAGTTCACAATAGGGTTCACATTCCTATGAGAATCTAATGCACGGCTGATCTGAGAGGAGGCAGAACTCTGCTCACATGCTGCTCACCTCCTGTTGTCCACGGGCCCAGGGTTGGGTACTCTTGCTCTACAGAACCCAACTCTGTGTCAAAGTCTGGCCCATGTATGCAGCACCGGTGGTTGAACACAAAGCTGATTCCTCTGTCAGCTCATTTCAGCAGATCCTATCCCTCTCAGGAGAAGCTGTAGCTGTTAACAGAACCTGCCTGTCTGCAGAAGAGAGGCTCATAAAAGCTCTCCATATCTGCAGTCTCTGTTTGTGCTGAGCCTGTGCCTTCTTCCAGAGCCTGAATCCCTTACAGAGCTCACAGTGGTTTAACCAATTGTTCCATTCCCTGGTATCACAGGATTTGAGTGTTTCTAGAGGTGATCCTACATAAAGAGACTGACCATGTCTAGAGAGCCTACTTGCCTGTTTCAAGAGCCTGCCTCTGTCTGGGAAGCATTTCTCTGGCTGAAAATGCTGTGCCTGTTTGTAGAGCCTTGCCTGTCTATGTTCCTATTCACATCTGTAGTCTGCTCCTTCTACAAAGAGTCCTTGTCTCAAGGGTCTGTCCCCATCCACATTTGTAGAGCCTTTCCCAGTCTGCAAAGATCCCCCATATCTGCAGAACCCTGACTGTTTGTAGAGCCCTTGTCAGTGTAACAATCTTTGCTTGTTAGCCCAGCCTATCTGAATTTCCCTGGGCAGAGTCTAGTCTGTTTGCCCAGACTGTCACTGCACACACACAAGGTCCCTGGCTATAGAACTCATTTCCATTAGGAGTACCTGTGCCTGCTGCAACCCCTTCTTTGGTCTGAGGAAGCCGTCCCTGTTTGCAAAGCTTATGCCTGTTTGCAGAGCCTTTTTCTACATACATAGCCTGTGTCTGGCTGCAGAGCCTGTGTCTTTCCGCATAGCCTGTTTCTAACTCCTCGTCTGTTTGCAGAGGTTGTTGCTGTGTTCAAAACCTGGCCCTGCCCAGACAGATGAGGTCCCTGTTTGCAAAGCCTCTGTATGCTGGTCTGCAGTACCTGTCCTGGTTTGCTGACATTTGTGTGTTTACAGAGCCTTCCTAATGAAAGTCACAGTCTGTGATGAAGGTGCTTTTGAGCTATAGGTGGGGAGAGTTCTTGCATGGAGTACAGGTGGTTAGAGGGCTGGCCTCTAGCCTGAGAACTCTGGCTCTTGTTCCTTGTGTCCTCCCACATTCCTGCCTGGCCTAGGATGGTGGACATCAACAAGAGCCTCCCAGTCATCGAGCGCCACAGGGACCTCCACGTATGGATCATTGAGGTGAGAGGCATGACCAGACGGCAGAGTTGGTGACACAGAGGTGTGGGGTCTCCAACACTGGGCTTCTCCCACCCCCAACTTGGAGCTCCCCTTCTTGACCGCCCCCCCAGCAGGTGTCATGGGTTAGGGAGGGTCTCCTGAGTTGTCACTGCATACTCTATTCCCCCAGAACCTGAAGATGGCGCCAGTCCCTGAGAAGGCTTATGGGAACTTCTTTGAGGAACACTGCTATATCATCCTCCACGTGAGTCCCCCAGGCTGTAGTGCTGGGGAGGTTAGTGGGGCAGACATAAGCTCTGCCCCGGGAAGAGGCAAGTTGAGAGTCCAGAATCTCATCCCACAGGGGGGCAGCCCTTGAGGCTTCTTGGTCCTTTATGAGCTTCCTGGAATTTAGGGAAGCACCTGCCCCGCCTCTTCCTGTGGCCCTCAGTACACCCCCCCCCACCTCCTCTCCACTACGCCTCCGCCCTCTCTCCTCACCACACACCCAAACACCTGGGTCCTAGGTCCCCCAGAGCCTGAAGGCCACGCAGGGGACGTGCAGCGACCTGCACTACTGGGTCGGGCAGGAGGCTGGCACAGATGCGCAGGGTGCTGCGGGCGCCTTTGTGCAGCACCTACATGAAGCGCTGGGCTCCCAGACCGTGCAGCATCGCGAGGTGCAGGGCCACGAGTCCGACTGTTTCCGCAGCTACTTCCGACAAGGAGTTATGTGAGTGTGAGGGTGGGGGTGGGGGTGGGGGAGAGGTGGAGAGAAGAGGGGAGCAGAACAGTGAGGGCAGTGCCTGGGCTGGGGCAGCCTTGGAGTGACTCACTCTCTCTTCCAGGGGATGTGGGGGAAAGGTGGGGTAACCCCTTGATGAAGGCACTTACTGTACAATCACCCTCTAAAGTACCATACACTTCAGTGATTTTTAACACGTGTGCAGCTGCCGCCACAATCCTTTGTAGAACATTCTCATCACCCTAAACAGAAGTCCATACCTTTTAGCAGACACTTGCTGCTTTCTTCCAACATCTCCCCAGCCCTAGGTGACCATTCGTCTCCTTTCCATCCACATATTTGCATGTTCTGGACTTGTCCTGTAAATGGACTCATCCAAGTGGTCATTCCCAGTGGGCTTTTTTTCCTGCTTAGCTTGAGGTTTGCAAAGTTCATCCCTGTTGTGCAGTGGCCGCTCCCGGCCACTGCAGCCTCGACCTGCTGGGCTCCGGCGATCCTTCCGCCTCAGCCTTCCAAGTAGCCAGAACTACAGGCGTGCTGCCACGCCTGGTTGATTTTTGATTTATTGTAGAGATGAGGTCTCACCAAGTTGCCCAGGCGGGTCTCAAACCCATGGGCTCAGGCAATCCCCTCACCTCAACCTCCCAAAGCAGCCTTAGGCAACATAGTGAGACTTTATCTCCACAAAAAATTTAAAAATTAGCTGAGTGTGGTGGCGCATGCCTATAGTCCCAGCTACTTGGAAGGCGGAGGTGGAAGGATCGCCTGAGCCCAGGAGGTTGAGACAGCAGTGAGCTGTGATCATGGCAGTGCATTCCAGCCTGGACAACAGAGTGAGACTTCGACCCCCCAAAAACAAAAGTAAAAACCCGCAGACTGCCATGTGCTTGGATGAGTGCAGATGTGAGCAAATGCAGGTATGCACATATGTGGGGGATACCCACGTGCCTGTCTAGCACATGCATTTGAGTCTATGTGAACACATGTTTATACAAAAACATGGGTACACACATGGGGTATGCATGTGCATTTGTTTATCTGTGTGTAGTGATGTGGACACATGTATATACATGCACATGTGTATACATGTTGGTATCTGTTTATCCATGTAAACCTAGTTGTAAGTACATGGAAGTGGACAACAGCATATGTGTGTGAAGGTGGATGTGAATACTCATGTATGCCCATCTATAAGTGGACACATGGGGCGGTGTGTGGTTCTGTGTGTGCATGTGATCATGTATCTACTATATGTATTAGGGTCAACTGTATGAAATGGAGATGTCTTAAATTCCTGGCTTCAAGCATTCCTCCTCCCTCGACCTCCCAAAACATCAGGATTACAAGTGTGAGCCACCACACCTGGCTCAGTCTGTGTTCTTTTTTTTTTTTTTTTGAGTTGGAGTCTCACTCTGTCACCCAGACTGGAGTGCAGTGGCCGCTCCTAGTCACCACAGCCTCGACCTGCTGGGCTCCGACGATCCTTCTGCCTCAGCCTTCCAAGTAGCTGGAACTACAGGCATGCGCTATCATGCCCAGCTAATTTTTTTTTAAATTTATTGTGGAGATGAGGTCTCGCCAAGTTGCCCAGGCGGGTCTCGAACCCACAGGCTCAGGCAATCCACTCACCTCAGCCTCCCAAAGGCACGGGATTACAGGCTGAGCCACTGAGCCCAGCTCAGTCTGTGTTCTTACAAGAAATCTCATTCCCTCCTCAGATACAGGAAAGGAGGCCTAGCCTCTGACCTCAAGCACGTGGAAACCAACATGTACAACATCCAGCGGCTGCTGCACATCAAAGGGAGGAAGCATATGTCTGCCACCGAGGTGAGAGGCTGCCAGGGGGAGCCTCTTGACCTCTGAACTCAGCTCAGACTGGGTATACTGAGGCACAAGGAGGTGTGGGAATTGGCAGGTTTAGAGGACGAGGTGCTATCAGCATTCCCAAATGGCCTATTTTGAGTGAGGAGAACAGAGAGGGCACCATGCTTCTAGCCCCATGCTGCCACTGCTCCCTGCACCTTTGTTTCCTCATCTGTCTCAGGGGTACATTAAGAACTTGGGCCAATATGGCAGATGAGATGGTACACATGAGTTGTCCTTGTAAGCAGCACAGTGGGAGGTAGCACGATTTGGGAAGAGAGTGCATAGCTTCATCCTCTCTCATTCACACAGTGATTGTCACCCAGATGCACACATGCTGTCTCCCATGGTTACCCCTGGGGGCCTCTCTAGTCCATAAAGTGCCCTTGTGCAAATTAGAACATAGTTCCCCTTTCTCCCATCTGTCAGGAAATTCAAGGAAAACATGGATCATGTTAGAACAAGACATTTTGCTGCTATCTGGCTGGAGTTTGGTGTAATGAACATTCAGGCGCAACAGCATCTACCATGTGAATGGTGACCCTTGAGTTGTGCATGTTACCTGTGACATACAGTCCAGGCTCAACATTGTCACCCACAGACTTGGTGACCATACATCCCTGGTCATGCAGGGATACCATGCTGCCCCAGGTTTTGCCTATTATCCTGGCATAATTATTTACTCTTGAAAGTGTCTCAGTTTGGATGATAACTGTCCTTATCCATAGGTATGCACTGTCCCCTGTCCACGGGCACACACACTGTCACCATGAGCACACACACTCATGCACATTTGATGTGCCCCCACAGACATACACGTACACAAGCACACAGTTATAAACAAGTACACCCCACTTGAACATAGGCACAGCTACAGACATGCTGAGTGAGAAGTGCCACGTCCACCCCATGAAACGCATCACTGCCTATGGCCACACATGCCTCCACACACCCCACCGCCCACAGCTTCATGCACAGTGACATGTCCCAGCTGTGCTTCCCTCCAGCTGGGTGCTGGTGGTATGACACCCCATTTCCCTCACGGCCCCTCCTGGCTCTGGCAGGTGGAGCTCTCCTGGAACAGCTTTAATAAGGATGACATCTTCCTGCTGGACCTAGGCAAGGTGATGATCCAGTGGAATGGCCCCAAGACTGGCATTTCCGAGAAGTCTCGGGTCAGTGTCTGCCCAAGGAACTGGGGGCTACAGGGCTTGGGGGGCATGGTCCCTCAGGTGTCCATCCTCCAGCCACTCTGAGAGGTGGGCTTACCCCGACTCCACCACCCAAGAAGCACCTGATAGGTACAAGCTGAGTTCAGACCCTGCACTGCTGATGTTCCCTTAGATGCTAGGATGAGGGAACACCGGCATTCCCCGTCCCCCGCCCCAGCCTCCGGGATCTAAGCAGTGACAGGAAGGATCTGGGCTGGTGAAGCTCTGACTACCAGGTCTCCTGCAGGGTCTGGCCCTGACCTGCAGCATTCGGGACAGGGAACGTGGTGGACGTGCTCAGATTGGTGTGGTGGATGATGAGGTCAAAGCCACCGACCTCATGCAGACCATGGAGGCTGTGCTGGGCCGCAGAGTGGGCAACCTGCGTGCCGCCACACCCAGCAAGAGTATTAACCAGCTGCAGAAGGCCAACGTTCGCCTCTACCAGTGAGCAGACTTGGGGATGGGCGGGGAGGGTGGACAGTCCAGGACTGCATGTCTGTCATCACTGCAATAACACAGTCTCTAGAAAACCCTCTAGAAAAGACAAGAGGGTTTCTGGACAGGCCCTGCGGACCTTGGGCCCAGCCTGTACTCTCACATGGTGTGTGGCTGTTGCTGCAAAACTTACGGTACAGACAGGGACAGAGCCTTGCAAGGGTCGGGAAGCTGCCTGACACTCCACAGCAAGGTTGCAGTAAAGCTAGGACCACAACTCCGGGCTCCAGCCCCCGTGTTTTCTGTCTCTGGTGGGAGGAAGTGGGAGGTGCTACAAAGGGCTGGGCTGGCCACACCTGGCTGCCTGTCCCTTCAGTGTCTATGAGAAGGGCCAGGACTTGGTGGTCCAGGAATTGGCAACCCGCCCACTGACTCAGGACCTTCTGCAGGAGGAGGTGAGAATGGCCTGACCCCAGCCACCCCTACCTGTCCCTACCCCACAACCCAGCCCAGTCTGGACCACCTAATAACCATCCCTACCCTTGCTTCCAGAACTGCTACCTCCTTGACCAGGGTGGCTTCAAGATCTATGTGTGGCAGGGACACATGTCCAGCCTCCAGGAGAGAGAGGCTTCCTTCAGCAGGGCGGTGGTGAGGCCCTGGGGCCCTGTCTGAGAGGGACATAGCACTAATCAGGGAGCAGCCCTGTCTTCCATCTGGCTGGGGAGGCAGCCTTGCCCTGGGGTCTCAGGAAGGACAGGGCCCTACCCTGGAGTTTGAGTTAGGAAACATCCACATCCTGGCACCTCAAAAGGGAGGGAGGTCTATCCTGAGGTCAGAAAGGTGGATACACCCTGCCCTGAGAGTGAAGAAAACATGAGTAAAAGGGGGACGTGACCGGCCTTCAGGTCGGAGGGCCTACTGCACTGGGCACCCCCTCCTTTCTGGCGGTGGGGGGTGTGAAAGAGGCGGGGCACTGCCTGAGGTGGTCCCTGAGGGTTGTCTCTGCCAGCCCTTCCCAAGGCCCAGACCAAAGGGACCCTGTCTGTCCTCAGGGACCTCAGAAAAGTCAGTAGTGAGAGAACCAGTTCGTTAAGTGGGTCATGAGCTCTGTTAATGAAGGCTTATAAGAACTCCGCTGTCCCTGCGGGACCGTCTGAGCGGGAGGTCCCGGGGGGGAGCGGAGCCGTGGGCCGTCGCGTCGCAGGCCTCATGGAGCACTCGCTCCAGGGCTTCATCCAGGCCAAGGGCTACCCCACTCACACCAACGTGGAGGTGGTGAACGACGGCGCCGAGTCGGCCTCGTTCCTGCAGCTCTTCCGGACGTGGTCTAAGGAGCCGGGCAGGCACCGGCGGCTGGGCGGGATGGGTGAGTAGGCGGGGCGCGACCGGCAGGGGCGGGGCCTGGCGGGAGGGGGCGGGGCCTGGCGGGAACGGGCGGCTCGGCGGGATGGGTGCGCGGGCGGGGCGGGGCCTGGCTGGACGGGGCGTGGCATGC